CATAATGTACACCTTTCTGTACCTGTATTTCCAAGTAGCCTACCGTCCACCGATATTATCATGTACACTTTTCAGTAGATTCATTTCCAAGTACTGCCCACTATTGTTATTATGTACACTTTTCTGTACTTGTATTTCCAAATACCGACCACCTATGATATTGTTATTATGTACACTTTTCTGTACTTGTATTTCCAAATACCGACCACCTATGATATTGTTATTATGTACACTTTTATTGTTGACCCCTTCATGTTTTTCCAAAGCTCTGCGTGGACTCTAGAAGAACACAGAAGGTAGTTCTACGTTCGGTTAGCACGTCACCTGTTTGGACATCCAACTTTTCAGCACCACAAACTGTGCAGTAATTTCGCATGTATTTAATCTGCCTCATTAAAATTAACACAAAACTGAATATTAATGAATGCTCCAAACATCATCATTAATGCCTTTCACCCATGGCAGGGTATAGGCCACATACAAGCTCCTTCCATTTATCTCTCTCCTGGGCCATCCTTCCAAACTCGTTCCAAGTGAGCTTCATCTCTCTCATGTACCTACTCCAAACGTACAGTCTGATTCTGAATTTAAAACAAATATTGCTCAAGTTATTGTCTATTTATGTTATACCCGTGAACACATCGAAAGCGATGCCTTCAGCCTGCGGAACGGATGTACCGTATATAAAGGGGTAATAATATAACAGCTATCACAACCCAGAAGACCCTTATCGCCGCCCCTCCCCCCCAAAAAAAAAAATAAAAATAAATCCAAATGGCAGAAGATCTACAAGTTCAGCCTGGACTGGCAAGCCTTGCTCTACAGCGTAGACTTTTTTTGTTTTTGCTTTTGTCTTTGTATTCGTTGTTTTTTTTTTCAAATTATTTTTTTTCGAACTGAAGTGTTCTATAAATACAGTCAGTTGTTATACTCCTGTTCAAATTGAATTAAGCTGACGCGGCAAGCACATGTGTCATTGTCTATGCAAACAATACAATTCCGAACGGCGATCCTTTTACGTAGAGGTAGGTTCGGGAACTAGGAAATTCATGAAGAAAATATCGGAGTGTGTGTGTGTGTGTGTGTGTGTGTGTGTGTGTGTGTGTGTGTGTGTGTGTGTGTGTGTGTGTTCCCGT